TCACACACTTTTTGAGTTTCAACTTTACAAAATAACACTTCTTACTAGTAACACATTTTCTGTACATATAATGTCTATTTTACCCTTAAACTAAACCAAAGTCTATCTCTCTTCTTTCTTTCTCTTTTCTTTTTTGTTTTTTTTATCTTACATTTTTTCTTCTGTACGGGATAAAAAAAAATCATTACAACCCAGAATTTTTTTAGATATTTTTTTTTCTTTTGAAACTCAATCGATGAATTTCTACTATCAATAAAATTGATGGTGTGATGGTTCATGATTATGTGGTTATGGCTACAAGAAATGGAGATGGAGGAGAGAGATTGGAAGATTAAGCGAGTTGGGTACTGATTGTGAGACTGAAAGATTAAGGGGGTTTGGATTTGTCACTTTCAAAGATGAAAAGCCATTGAAAGAATGAACGAACCGGAGCTTGATGGTCACAACATTACTTTGAACGAGATTCAATCTCGCGGTGGTGACGTGGAGACCATGGTTGAGAAGGCGGTGATATTCTAGTGGAAACAGTCATGGTTATGGTGATGGCAGTGGTAGATAATGTGCAGTTGTGGTTATAGAGACAAAGGAGGCGGTGGATTACGGAGGTAATAGTGGATCTCGTGGTCAATGTGTGTGTGGATGTTGTTGATGTGGTCAGAAGAGTTGTGGATGGTGATCTCGTGGTCAGTAATTGTTTGATGTTGTTGATGTGATCGGAAGAGTTACAAATGGAGCTTTCGGTGGTAGATACGAAAGTGGTAATAGAAGTGGAAGATGTAGTGGAGGTGATGATTAATAGAGGTGAAGGTGGCTCTTGGTCAATGTGTGTGTGGATGTTGTTGATGTGGTTTGAAGTTGTGAATGGGAAGTTTGTGGTCAATGGTTAAATTGATGTTATTGATGTAACCAGAAGAATTGTGAATGGGAAATCTCGATCGTGGATACAAAAGTGGTAATAAAAATGGAGGAGATAATGGAGGTGATGATTATACGAATATAGTAATTAAATGGAAAGTGATAATAGATATGGAGGAGATAGTGGAAAACATGGAAAGAGGGTTTCACTGTCCAATATTTATTCTCTCTCTTCTATAAAGTGTCTTCTTTTACATTGTGTCTTTATATGTTATCAAAAGTCAAAATGTATCTTTTATTCTAACGCTCTCTTTATTTTTCAAGCACTTGAGACTCCCAAGTAGGTGGGAATTCGCTTGCCTTTTCAAATATGATCGAAATATGTATAAGCTTGTTCACTAGATGCATATAATTTCTATACTTTTTAAAAAGGTTTATTTCCTTCATTTAATCGCAATCGTTGATATAGAAAGCAAGATTAAGTTGTTAACTCGCTGTTTTGAATATGTTTAAGAGGAAAGATCTTTCGACGAGTTTATCACTTTATCTGATATCTCAGTTGAATTGAGTTCGTGTTAATTAATAAAAGGATTTTTAGTAATAAAATTTCCCAGCTAAAATGGATCGTAAAAGACCCATCAACTAAAGATTTAATGAAATAAACTCTTAACTTGAGTTCCGTTAATATATGTCACTCTCCGTCACGGTATTTAGATGGATAGTGATATACGTTAACATAACTAAAGTTGATGATTTTTTTCATTAAATATTTAGTTAAAAGATGTTTTACAATCTATCTTTAGTTGAGGGGTTTTATTACTAATACGATTAAATGTTTTAAATTATTATTATCACTTATGCATTATTTAAGACTCTTACAATGATTTATAAAACTTAAAAATAATTTATCAATCTTTATACATTACTTTATAAATTTTATAACATATTTATAAATCTTTATAAAATTTTAATACTTTTATAAATTATTAATAAAGTGTAATGATCATTTAATAAGATTAAAGATGTGGTTGTTCATCATATTATAAAAATATAAAATAAATAATTAAAACAATAAAGCAATTCAAAGATATAGTTTTATTGATTAATATGGTAGGAGTATAAAATATTAGTTCAGAAATCAAAAGAAAAAAATAATCATGCATTATTTCTTTGAAAATAGATAGAAAATGTAACTTAAAATGAAATCGTGAAAAATAATCCTACATTTTTTCCTCTTTCAGAAAGCTTTATTGTTTTATTTCATATTTCGTAATATCATGAAAACTATGTATTACCGATTCTAACAAATAGCATACAATAGCTTATAAAATCATCATTAAACCTTATTAAAAATTTATAAAAGTATTAAAATATTTATAAATAGCTTGATAGTGTATACAAATTTATAAAAATATTTTAAATGTTTATGGATTAATTGTAAGAATCTTAAATAATGCATAAACATTTAATCATATTTAATAATAAATTCTGTACGAAAAATTCTCAACTATAAAACTAAGGATGACATCCGTTAATAGAATTAAAGTTAAAAAATTATTTTATTAAATCTTTAGTTGAGGTTATCTTTTTAAATTTATTTTTAGTTTAGAGATTTTATTACTAAAAAATAAGAGTATTGAAAGAAAATGATATGTCGCAAAAACTTTCCGTTATAAAATGCATATATTGTTATGGAATTTTTGAGTTGAACCTAACGTGAAAGCTGTAAAAGTGTAAAGGCGACAACTAGCTAGCTACATACATCAAAGAAAGCTAATATAAGAATATGTTCCTTACCCAGTAGACCAACATATATTATCCGATTGACATACAAACACAAAATGAAATTCCTTCATGTAACTCTAGGATTATTTTTTGGCCCAAAAAAAGATCTACGATTATTAATTTGATAACTTAAAGTTGGTACTTTCTGGTGCATATTAAATTATGAGTATGGAGCCAACCTTTAGCGGTGCAAGGTGGAAACGCCAAGCAAAGTCAGATCATTCGAGAAAAAAGAAGAGCAGATCATAGCCGTTGGGCTTATAAACGATGGACATTCTCATAAAAACCTTTGTCAGTTTCCCCAAAAAGAAATGTATAAAATAAAATGTATTTTATGGTTTTCAATCAGTGAATGAATCGTCCATGTGAAGCTTGTTTTCTTTCTTTTTATTTTTATTTATTTTGCTTCTCTTTTGATCAGTCGCTATACATGTAAGAATTTGTCTTGAATTTTGAGGATATTAGAGCCTCTCTATTATAGAATTTGCAAAACTTTATATTTGAAGTTTGAAAATATTATATTCTAAAAGTAAAATTTTAAACTTAATTTTAAAACTATTTCTATTTTATATAATGGTCCTTATATTTATCATAACTAATTCAAACTCACAAAACTTTTATAAATAACAATCATGTATTAAAATATTATAAAAATATTTTTTTATAAAATGTTACAATAAAATATAAAACTCTAAATAGAAATAGATAGTTAAATATTAAAGTACAAACAAAATACCATACTATAGCATGTAATATTGTTGTCGTCTGATTCTAGTTTTAAAATATTTTAAAGATTATCTTGATGTTTGTAAAAAAAAATATATATATAAAACTTAAATTTAGAAAAATAATTTTGAATTATTTATGAAATAAGAAATTTTAAGGATTAACATGATAAAAATAAAATATTGAAAATTATTATAAATATGATGTGAAATTATAAGGACCAAAATGCAAATAAAATATGAAACTTCAAATTTGAAGTTTTGAATAGTGACAGTTTATATTGAACTTTCACTACTAAAACTTCAAATTTGAAATTTTAGAGTTCCTTTTTGGAGAGATAAAAACTTCATATTTGAAGTTATAGAGTGTCTTTTGAAGATACTCTTAGAGCACCATCAACCTAAAACCCCAATTAAGGATGTTTATTATTTTTTTAATAAATTTAATTGTAAAAGTGATTTAAGATGCAACAGTAAGCATCCCCAACATTTTCGTGCTCCAATGAGAGATTTATTTTGGGGTTCCTAAAAAAATTAAAATATTATTTTTTAAAAATAAAATTTATTTATTGAATAAAACATTAAAAAGTATTTAAACATAGATTTTTTTTAATCTTTGAATGTCATTTTGGTCATTTAAAAAAAATGATGTTAGTTAGATTATTTTCATATTTGTGTATCATTTTGATCACAAAACAGTGTTTTAGAGAGGAAAAATAACAAAATTATTTTTTTCCATCATTGGGTGACTTTGGTCATTTTCAAAAGAAAAATGGTGCTAGTTAGCTCATTTTCATATTTGGATGTCATTTTTGTCATAAAAACAATTTTTCAAAAAGAAAAAAATGAACAAAAACAAAAGAAATTTTGGTTCTTTTTCATTTTTGGATGTTATTTGGTCATTTCAAAATAAATGATGCTAATTAGGTCATTTTCATATTTGGGTATCATTTTGGTCATAAAAACAGTGTTTAAAAAAAAAAAAAAACGACATTTTTTCCTTTTCCATCTTTGGATGTTATTTTTGTTATTTTCAAAAAAAATAATTGGTGTTAATTAGGTTATTTTCATATTTAGATGTTATTTTAGTCATAAAAAAATATTTCAAAAAAAAAGTGTTTGAAAAAAAAAATTGCTCAATAGCTGCACACCAAGCACCGTGTTTCTTCTCTTTCTTTTTTAAAAAAGTGTTAAACACCCGCGGTTGATGGTGCTCTTATGATGATTTAAAATGACACCTGCAAATTGTTAATAATTACTTTATTTTCAGATCTACCCTTCATTCTTTTAGATTGTAACTCTTTGTCTTTAACATGCTTGGATCTTTTAGCAAAACAAAAAAAAAGCTTAGATCTTCTCTTTACTTCACTTCTTGTCTTAGATTTACTAATAATTTTTTAAAAATATATAGAAGCAAACTACATTTAGAAAAAAAGCTTGGATCTTCTACACTCTCTTTAGTTCACTTCTTGTCTTAGATTTACTAATAAAAATTTTAAAGTATATATAAGCAAACTACATTGAGATTCCCTCCGTAGATGGCCGACGTAAAATAAATATCCCAAATCAACAATTTAATAAGTAATAGCGAATCATATATCAACATCACACAACCTCAGTTTCCGACGTTCTCTCTCTCCGACCACTTTTAATAAACTGAAAACTCCACTCTGTGATAAGTCATCGTCGTGTCGATTCCACTCTATCACCACTTCTCCTTCATCTTCGCCTCTTCGCTAGTCTCCACCGCCGGCATTCCCGGATTCCGCAGCATCAAATGGAGCTTAAAAGCTTCCACCGCTCTTCTGCCTTCCTCGTATTCCTCCTCTCAGGTTCAAAATCTTATTACAGTTTCTTCTGTTCTTTCTCTTTAAGTATTTATTTGTCACAGTTTACTAACATTATTGTAACGTCAATGTGATACAAAGTGGTGATTCTATCCCCGGCGACGGTGACTTCAATAGGAGTAAACTACGGTCAAATCGGAGATAACCTACCGTCACCTGAAGACGTAGTTCCACTAGTGAAATCAATCGGAGCAACCAAAGTGAAACTGTACGATGCAAACCCACAAATCCTCAAAGCTTTTGCCGACACCGGGATAGAGTTCATCGTGGGACTCGGCAACGAGTACCTCTCCAAGATGAAAGATTCTTCCAAAGCCTTAACATGGATCAAACAAAACGTCACCCCATTCCTACCGGCGACGAACATCACCTGCATCACCATCGGAAACGAGATCTTAGCTCTCAACGACTCTTCTCTCACCGACAGTCTCCTCCCAGCGATGCAAGGAGTCCACTCCGCTTTAGTAACCGCCGGACTCTCCGACCAAATCGCCGTCACCACCGCACATTCTCTCTCCATCCTCAAAACATCGTTCCCTCCTTCCGCCGGAGAGTTTTGGCCAGATGTAATAGATTACCTCAAACCGATCCTCGAGTTTCACCGGAAGACAGACTCTCCGTTCTTGATCAACGCCTACCCTTTCTTCGCTTACAAAGGAAACCCTAAAGAGATCCCTCTCGACTTCGTCCTCTTCCAACAGAACCAAGGAGTCGTGGATCCGACCACCGGGTTCCACTACGACAACATGCTGTTCGCGCAGATCGACGCCGTCTACTCTGCTTTAGCGGCGGCGGGATATAAAACGCTTAAAGTTCAGATATCGGAGACGGGATGGCCGTCGAAAGGAGACGACGACGAGTTCGGAGCTACGCCGGAGAATGCCAAGAGGTATAACGGAAACTTGATAAAGCTTATGAAGAATGAAAAGACCAAAACACCCTCAAGACCGAACAACGAGCTTATCATCTACGTGTTTGCGTTGTTCAACGAGAACATGAAACCTGGTCCGACGTCGGAGAGGAATTACGGTCTGTTTAAACCTGACGGAACTCAGGCTTACTCACTTGGATTCACTCTAAACGATGTCGTAAAAGGTGGTAATAGTAGTAGCAGTGGAGGCGGTGGGAAAACGCCGGTTTTCCAGTGACGCCGGTGGCGCCGGATAGTGCGTCGACTGGTTATTTGGCAATTTCGTCAGCTCCGGTAAGATTCTCGCATTTTCATTAAAGTTGCCATCTTTTTATTTTTGGTTGAGTAAAGCGAAAGATTCGAACCTTTTCAACCTTAAGTTACAACTTTTCATGCACTCATAATTATTCCATTTTCGTTTTTTTTTTAGTAGCAGTTTTAGGATGGGATTATCCTTACATTTCATTTTGCTTGAACAAGGCTCTAACATTGACACAGATGTGATGATAGTACTAAACTGTTATACTAAGATAATTGTGTGATGATACCAATGCTAGAGATGTTACCTTTGCGTGTTTAGTGATAAAGTGCTTTATGTGAAACGAAACTGTTTGTTGCAGGGGAAAAGAAAAGGGAAAGATGCAGTATTTTCAATGGTGGTGATCATGTTATTGGCCCAACACTTACTTTGATTACAAGAAAACAGAGTTTTAACTTATAAAATGTTAAGAAATGAAGATGGTGGTTGGGACATATCCGGAAATGGACCAGACCACATCAGTACCATACCAGGCGGCCAAGTATCAGTCACTATCCTCCCTTGTGTTTATCCATATGTTGTAGTTATCCTAATCATTATAGGATTAGGATAATCATCCCCTTTATTGTTGTAATCCTTATCTCCTAAGGAATATGCTTATTCNTTATTGTATTATTTTGAAGAAGAAATCCCTTGCTAACTATTCTTTTGCAGGTGTAAAGCCTTAGCTAAAAGATTCAAAGCAATCCAATCTCTCTCTCTCCTAAAGATCCAAACCGGCTTTGCCCTAATGGAGGTCCATTCAAAAACAAGGAGATTTGAGGTATGAAACTTAAACTCTTAAACATGAGTTTCGACCCCCCCTTTAATCTATGATGTTTTGGTATGTTTGAGAAGTAAAATTAAACCCCTAAAAAGCCTAACTATGTACATGAATACAAACTTGTATTCATGAACAAAAGTTAACCTAAAACCCTAACTTATGAACTCGAAATCTTTGCTTGCTTTGATCCGTTTTGCTTGCTTATTTTTATCAAGTTAATCATGTTGAATGCTTTAGGAATTCACCTTGATAGATTTCGTGTTTTGAGTTTGAGCAAATTGATAATCTAAAACCCTAGATAGCTAAGACATAAAACCGGTTTGTTTTGTCTCTCTCTAGGATCGATTTGTTAATGGTTGTTTTGATTGATCCAATTCGTTTTTGCTGCACTAGATCTATTAATCACTTGCTGAAATTGATCACCCTGGGACTATGTGTTTGTTTGATCATTGAATTAATTAGATCTGAGGTTTAGAAAGTTGGTATAACCTAAACCCTAATTTGCGCATAAACCTAAATCTGATCTTGTTTAAACCCTAGATTTAACTTGGATATTTTTCGTGGTTCAAAATTTGTTTTAGCATGTTAATATGGACTATCTGATTGCTTATGTCATTGAGGTCGAATGCTAGATTCATAGGTTGCTTGAATCAAATTGATAGTTTGCTAAAACCCTAGTGTTTTCTTATGCGCATGATCTTGTATCTATGATGTTTAAATTTCTTGATCTGTTCCTGGTAAATTGCACGACCTAGGCTTGCTCTAGAATGATAATATGACCTATCTAGTTGTGTTTAAAATTAAAACCGAGTGCTTGGTTCATTGGTTTCATGGTTGAATGAATTGTTTTGTCAAAACCCTATGCGCATAAACCCTAATTCCGAGTTGCTTAGATCCCTAATCTAAAATTGATTCCTTTATGATCTTGGCTTGATATTTGATGATCTCATGAACCTGTTGATTGCTTGTAATGTGTACTTGCTTGGTTGCATGATTCGGAATTTTTTAAAATTTTTGAAAACCCTTGTTTGGTCATAATCCTATTAGGTTTAGGATTTGCATTCATAATCCTATTTGGCTTAGGACTTGCACTAAAATAAATCCGACCATCTTTTAGCATGTCTTGCTAGTTTACATATGGTTTGTATGATGCCTGAGACTATGTGGTTGTTTGCTAAATTTATTTTAGAACCAAACTTGAAAGGAATTGTTAAGTTGTGCAATT